ACTGTGAAAAAGGAAATTCTAGGGCCAGGTGTGGTGGAGCATGCCTTTAGTCCCAGAACTTGGGAGGCAGAGGCAGTGGATCTTTGTGAGTTCAAGGCCATCCTGGTCTACATAGTGAGTTCAGGTCAGCTGGGACTACAGGGAGACCCTGTCTCAAAAAGACAAAAAAGGAAATTCTAAAAATAAAATTATGGGAGCTGGAGAGATGGCTCAGCAGTTAAGAGCGCTTACTGCTCTTGCTAAGGATCTGGACTCAGTTCCCAGCACCCACACAGTGGGTTACAAACTTCTGTAACTCCAGCTCCTGGGGATCTGATGCCCCCTTTTGTCTTCCTTAGGCACTTGCATGCACATGGTGCATATAAAATCACACAGGCACACATACATATACATGGGATTTAATAACAACAATAATGGTAATAATTCCCTGTCTCAAAAATATTTTTTTGAAAATTCATTTGTAACAAAGCAGGAGCTGAAGATCCCAGGCCCTGTCCATTCTTGGTCTGTTTGAGTTGACTTTTACACATTTGTCTGCTGGTACACCAAGATGTGACCTCCAGGTGCTGGTGACATAGATGTGACCATCACATTGCTTTTCTAAAATACGAAAACTTAATTCCACACTCATCTCTCCAGAGTTTCATAGAAGTGTCATGAGCTTTTATCAGATTTTTTCATGTCAGTCTGCTCTCCTTTGCTTCATGTATTTTGAGCATGTAATCCCAAAATATGAAGCCCACCATGTTCCAAAATCTACAATCTTGAGTTGTGACAGAACCCCACAAGAGGAAATTTGTACATCTTATCATGCACTCGAGTCTTGGGCTCACTAAGATGTCACATAAAGATACCTTCAAACTATGCGTGGGAGGTATACATGGAACATGCAGGGATTTCTGGTTTAGAATTGGGCCCCATCCTCAAACTAGCTCAGTATGTGTAAGTAAGTATTCCAAAGTCCAGAAACATTTAGAATCTGAGTCACTTCTGGTCCCAAGCATTTCAGAGATGGTATTTTCCACGTGGTCCTTTCCTGTTCATCAGTTCTGGCCACTCCTGATGGTGGGATCCAAACTGCAAAGTAAGCTGGGAAGTGGAAAGCTCCCGTCTGGTGAGAATGCTATCCAAAGGACAGAGGGCTCACCACCTCACCTTCCAGAGCATTCTCAAGAAGCCTTTGCTCAAAGCAGAGCACCTGGTCTGAGTTGACATTCTGCCATCAGCAGTGTTTTACTAAATCTCCTTAGTTTTGAAATTCAAAAGATGACATAAAGCAATTTGATTTCCTATTTTTCAAATAATATTTAAAAGTAAATTTATGTCTGTAAATCATGGTGAAAAATTGAACAATTACCACTCTTCTGAGATTGGGATTATTTAGTGAACTTTGAAACTGGGCTTGCACTTGAAAGCTCTGTAGCCACATGACCACTAAGAGACTGTAGACTAGATTCTGTACTGGAGAGGGGCGGTGCTGTCAAAGGTCAGGATCGAATCAGCTGACATTATTGGAATAGGAATGCCTCACTCAAGTATCCCACTCATCTTCAATGTGGGTACGGAGCTATGATATATGTAAATTGACCTTAGATGTTTCAGAAGAAAAGGTACGTTGTGGGAGGGTGGGAGCGCTCAGATAATAAAGTGGGGCAGAAAATGCATAGTATGTAAATGTATGTTTTTATGTTTTCTGTTTTGTTTAGTTCTGTAAGATTATTTCCAAATGAGATTTTTTTTTTTTTTTTTTTGGTCTTTTTGAGTCAAGGTCTCCCTGTAGCCTAAGCTGTCCTGGAACTCACTATGTAGACCAGGCTGGCCTTAAACTCAGAGATCTACCTACCTCTGCCTCCCGAGTGCTGGGATTAAAGGCATGCGCCACCACGCCCGGCCAAATGAGATATTTTTAAACCTTTGTAGATTTTAGTCTTATACATTAAGAGAGAAAAATTTGTTACATTTATTTATTTTGTGTGCTGGGTGAAGGGCCTGTGTGTGCCATAGGGTACATATGTGAAGGTCAGAGGACAACTTGTGGGAGTTGGTTTTGTCCGGAATCCACCACGTGGGTTCCAGATCTTCTTGAACTCAGGTTATCAGACTTAGGAGCAAGTACCTTTACCACTAACATCTTGAAAACAAAATCAAAACCACAAGTCCATATACAATGCTTGGCTGACATCACTGTCAGTGTCAGCTCACAAACGTAAGCATTATTAACTTTATCTCCACATGCCAATTTAATTAATAGAAAATGAAGAACAGAAGTATATAAAGTTATTATGAATATTGGTAAAAATGAATGGATTGGGAAGTTATTAAGTGAAGTATCCCAAACTCAGAAAGACAGATACCACGTGCTTGCTCATATGTGGATGCTAACTCCTAATTTTTGTATATGTGTATTTATGTGGGATTGAGTTTGCACATAGGTCATGAAACTAGAAAGGGGGATTATAAGAGGAGAAAAGAGTGTTTTAAAAAGAGGAGTGGGGGAGCTGGAGAGATGGCTCAGCAGTTAAGAACACTGTTCTTGCAGAAGACCTGGGTTTGAATCCCAGCACCCACGTGGCAGCTAATAACTGCCTGTAACTCGAGTTCCAAAGGATCCAATGGCCTCTTCCAACCTCCATGGGCATTGCACAACATGGGTACACTTGTATATGTGCAGTAAAAAGAGGAGTGGGGAGGGCAAGAGAATAATAGAATGCATGGGACACAAGAGTAGAAGGAGTGGAGTAGGCAGAAGGATCTAGGCAGTGGGGGTGGGGTAGAGGAGTAAGGATCAGCCAGAACAATGCACATATGAAAATGAGTAATGAAACCTGTTACTTTGTATGCTAATTTACCAAATAAATTTCAAAAATTCTATTGTTGGGGGTTGGAGAGATAGCTTAGCAGTTGAGAGCACTTGCTGCTCTGGTAGAGGACCTGAGTTTGGCTCCCAGCACGCATGTTGAGTGGCTCATAACTGCTTGTACCTCCTGTTCCAGGGGGAATCTGACACCACCTTCTGGCTGCATTCACATACACAGACACACAGACACACAGACACACACACACACACACACACACATATACACATATTTTAAAAATAATTATTATGATAATAACAGATCTTTGAAAATGATAGTGAATATTTTTTCAAAATTATAGAATAATCTGATCATAATGCTACTTAAATGCTATGTGTTACTGAATCTTTTCTCAGGCGTTTCATATTTCTCCATCTTGGCCTTGATAATACCAATAGCTTTTCTTGCCCAACAAGAGAATCTAATTCTAGTTAGCCAAGACTCACTGCCGTGTGGTCCTAGTCTGTTCATGCTGCTATAACAGAAGAGCATGGATGGACTGACTTAAAAACAACAGAAAGGTGGTCTCATAGTTCTGGAGGCTGGAGTGTTTGATATCAAGGTGTCAGTGTAGTCAGAATCTAGTCTTGGTTCACGGACGCCATCTTCTTTCGGTGTTGTCATATAGTGGAGGTAGCAAAGTATGTTCTGGTGCCTCTTGTATGAGGGCACTAATGCCATGAATAAGGACACATGACTTCCTTTCCAAAGGCCCCACCTCTCAATGTCATCACCTTGAGAAGTGAGATTTCAATATGTGAATTTGGTATGGACACAGTCATTTACAGCCTCAAACAAGGTTACTTGGAGGAGCTGTGGTTCTTGAATCAACCTCCCCTGTAAAACAGGGCAAGCTGCTCAGCTTTTCTAGATTTATCAACCATTCTGTCTGCATTACAGAACTATTGGGAGACTTGCATGGTGATACGCTGGAAAGTTATCCATGGGCCGCATATTGTTGTTAATGAAAAGTTTAAATAGCTGAATATGGTAGAGCATACCTATAATCCCAGTACTCAGGACACAGAAGCAGAGGATGATGTGTGAATTTGAAGTCAGTTTGGTCTACATAGTGAGTTCCAGACCCTGTATCAAAAACTTAAAAAATAAACAGAAGGAAAAAGTAGAAAGCTTACAATATTTTGTTTATTTGACCCCAGGATAGTGGATGCTTGGCATTGCTTTATAGGACTTACACTGTTGCTCTGTTCTTGATATGTATTATCATCTCATGGTTAAACACCAATTATGTTATCCTCGCCACAAAAGACAGTGCCCCCAACTGCTTACAGTATAGTACCCCATCTAGTCATTGTAAAGAGGTGAAAGGCAACCATGATCCTGAATTATTTCTTGGTCAATGTTGCTTTGGTAACAGATCATCAGCCACAAAACTCCATTTCTCATTCCCACCATGGACTGGCTGCACTTGGTCATGGCACTGTCCTTGGTCTCCATGTCTTCCTCATCCCAGGGCCCAGACTGAAGAGCAGCCTGCCCTAGAACACACCACACCCCTGGCTGATCCTGGGAGAGCTGTTAAAGCTTCTGCTCAGATGGGCATGTGTTGCCTCTATTCATAGTTCATTGGTCAGAGCAAGTCATGTGATCAGGTGGAGCTGGGAGTGTGTACATTCTTCTACAGTGCTGGGCATGGCTAGTCGAGGGCAGGCCTGTAGGACTGTATCAGGAGGGGTAGAAATAGAATCTCCTGCCAAAGTTAATTCCATTGTTTGTAGGGATGTACTTCCATATTGGTTTCAGTGAGAATAACCAATCATTTAGATGAAAGCATTTTCAATCAGTGAGAGAGTTAATGACTTTCAGTGACCTCACAGATTCATTCTGTGACTCTTTTTATTGGCTATAACGTATGTTTTTCCAAAGAAGACCTGGGAAAATCAGACATCTAAACCATAACCATTCTTTGAAACAATGTTTGCATCATTTAAAATGTTAAATTTAAAGTTATGCCTTTTATTAAAAAGTCCCAGTAGAATACAACTATCCAAAGGAGGCAAGGTAAATAAAAAGAAATGACTTCTGACCACGGCCTTATGTCAGCTGTCATTTTTCTCTGTGTCTAAGGTGTCAGCAAATGTTCTGTGGGTCTCTACTACAGACGCTTTGCTTTGTCTTCCACAGAGTGTTCATAAAAATGGAAGCAGTGTTTCTTTGCCAGATTCTTCATTGCTGTATCTCATGAGCCTACCTAATCTTGAGGAAGAGCCTGTTTTGAATGATGACACTGTCACCAGTGTAACGAGAAGGAAAACCCCCAATAAAGAAGACTTTAAATTCATATTCAACAAGGAAGCCGTTTCAGTCAACAACTTTTGCTGCAATCCTTTCTTCCAACATGAACCGATACACAACCATGAGGCAGTTGGGGGACGGCACGTACGGGAGTGTGCTGATGGGCAAGAGCAACGAATCTGGGGAGCTGGTGGCAATCAAGAGGTGTGTGCGCATCCCTGCAGAGTCTCTGTGGATGTTTGTTTTCCTTTGCTTGCAGGAGAACATTTGTGAGGCAGAGTGAGATCTAGTTCAGACCCCATGGTGGTTTGACTAACGAGGAGAAACGAAAACTACCAAAAAGGAATATATTTATAGGAATGAAAATTCTCTATTACTTTAATTTTCTGCTTTATCCAGATACATTAATTGTCTTAGTTTGTTCTTCATTGCTGTGACAGAACACTCTGACCACTACCCACTTGGGAAGGAAAAGGTTTATTTATCTTACATCTCCTGGGTCACAGTTCATCAGGGAGCCCAAGGTAGGAACTCAGGGCAGGAACCTGGTTGCAGGAGCTGGAGCACAGGCCATGGAGGAACACTGCTTACTGGCTTGCCCCTCTGGCCCCTGCTCAGCCTGCTTTCTTATGCAGCACAGGCCCACTTGCCCAGGGGTGGCACCATCCACAGTGGGCTGGGCCCTCCCACATCACTCATCAAGAAGATGCCCCTCAGACATGGCCACAGGCCAGTCCAATAGAGGCAATTCCCCAATTGAGGCTCCCTCAACCCAGGTGTGTCAAGTTGACACTAAAGCTATCCAGCACAAGGTGACTCACAATTGCCTGTAACTCCAGCTCTAGAGAATCTGATGCTGTCTTCTGGCCTCCACTGGCACCAGGCACTCATGTGGTACACTTACATACACGCAGACAAAACACTCATACACACAAAATAAAAATAAATCAGTCTTTCAAAAATAAAATAGAAGATTCAGGTATGGTGGTCCATGCCTTTAGTCCCAGCTCTTGGGAGGCAGAGGTAGGTGGATTTCTATGAATATGAGGCTATCTTTAAAAGTCCAATATCTCTTTTTAAAATCTCTCAACTGTGGGCTCCTCCAAAATAAAAAACAAGTTAAGTACTGTTTTATTTCAAAGGGAAGACTCAGGCAACTAAGCAAAACCCAAGTCCAGCAAAGTAGCTTAATACTGCACATCTGGGGTTCCCTCACGATCTTCTGGGCTCCAAAGGGTTCTGGCAGCTCCACCTCTGATTCTACTGTCCACAGCACAAACAGCTCATCTCGCAGACCCAGGCCAGCTCCATACCACACCTGCCGCTGTCCTTGGTGGTCATCCTATGGTCCTGGCATCTCCAAAAAGCTGGGACCTCCACTGAAACTGAGGCTGCACCTTCACCAATGGCCTCTTTTTGCCTCTGGGGTGCAAAGCCTCGGTTTCTCTCCATGACCCCTTCAATCCTGGAGTTTTCGCTGCAACTGAAGCGACACTTTCATCTATGGCATTTCCTGGCCTCTCAGAGTGCCAAGCCTCAGCTGCTCTGTGACCCCTTCACGCTTCCAACACCAGAACCATGCAGGAGACTTACACATTACCAAGTCCTGCTTCCAGTTTGAAATAGAGGTACGGGTCCCCTCTGTGTCCTGACCCTGAGAAAATACCTCCCAGAAGACTCCACCACAGTGATGCTGGTCTCTTGTTACTTACAGCTGATTTTTCAGCCCCAGCTAACCAGCATCAATTGTCCCAGTAAAGCAAAGGTTTTACTTCAGGTTCTGGTCTCTTCTTAATCACA